AACTTACCTAACTTAGTTTTAGTTTAGTACGTTAACTTAACTAACTTTTTAACCTTTAAACCTAAACCTAACGACAAAACGAAAACAGCCACTATTATACTCCTCCTCTCTCTCTCTCTCTCTCTCTCTATTTCATCGCATACTTAATTTGTAAATCCTCTAGGCTATGGATGAACAATCCATTGTTGCCCCTGAAACCATCGACCCGGCAAAAACTTTGAAAGAATATTGAGAGAGCGTGTGTGTTGGGGGATTCAATACCTAGAGAGAGAAGGGGATTGGGGAGAATCACGGTGGACAAATTTGGAGGATTGAGAGGTGAAGAAAGAAAAATGACTGTATTTTTTATATTTATTTGGATTAAAAATATAATTAAAATGGGTAAAAGCAGTATAAGGGGATTTGATGATATAAAACTTAGAATTCTTTATTTCAAGATATGTTTTAAATCTTTGAGATGAAACCTAAAAATAAGGATACAGAAATATAAATTAACATAAGCATTGAGATGAAAAAAGTAATGTCATAAGGGCTTATCCCCCGTTGAAGGAGTTTTAAGCCCCACCCGTTTGTCTCTCATCTCAACATCTTGTGAGCCCCCTTCTCTTTCCCATCCTCTATGCATACTTTCCTTACCCAACCCTTCCTCGTTATCTGCTAAACCCCATTCTTCGATCGAGCGAGCTCACTTTCTCTCTCCTCTTATTGAATCAATATAGAGAGAGAAAGGTTGGGCAGCTAGAGATGGAGAGAAGGGGAAGGGGTGAAAACACTAGGGAGGGGTTATAATATTTGGAGCTTAATAAGCAGGATAAAAGTCCAGCAATAGTGGTTTGAGTATCCTTTAACACAAACGAGAGACAATGCGAGAAACTTCAAGGGCTGACCACTTATGCCCAACCCCAATTCCTATTCCTTGTCGAAAATGTGTTTTGTGTTTGGTTATTGACAGGAGTGAGTGAGCGATGAACTCCTCCCCTTCATATCACATAGTTTATGCAGATCGTTTGCTGCTTTTCAGGAGTTAAACCATATCTCTGCGGTTTGTCTATTCTCACTGCTTTTTTTAGGTAGTTTTATTAATCTTATCTTTTGGGCTGCTTACGTACCCACATAGAGAGAGTCCAAAAGTGGATTATGCTCTTTTGTAAGAAAGAGATGGAGAGGAACTGAAATTTGGGTAATGATTCGTTTTAAGTCCCGAGATTTCTTACGAAATCGAGGATTTTTGGGTTGAGAAGTGTGATTGATCAGAGGAAGACTTAAAAAATTACTCTATAAAATAATTGAAACCCCCTGTATCTATCTCTGTTAGAAAGAGAGAGAGAGAGAGGGGGGCAGAGAGAGAAAAATTATCTTGGAATGTACAAAATTCAGATCAGATGTGACAGTGTTTGGCTTCTAGCCTTCTACCCAATCCTGTTAACCAATTTCAAGTCAAGACCCTTGATTTCATCATCTATGAAGCATCAATTTTTCTTTTAGAGTCTTAACTTCCAATATATCATTAATTTAGAAATACCATTTCTGATTCCTATCATTCATAATACGCTCTCTCTCTAAATTCTCAAAAGAAATCAAGTTACCTCAGCTTGGAGCTTCTTATTTTGAGCTTGGAGCAACTCATTATCAGCCTTAACAGCTTCAAACTGTCTCTTGAGCAAATCGTAGTCTTTCTCCAATTGCTTTGTCTTCCATCTAGCTCTCCGATTCTGAAACCAGATGGCTATTTGCCTTGGTTGAAGACCTAGAGCTCTAGCAAGCTGCATTTTCCTCTCTGGTTCTAACTTGTTTCCCAGCTCGAAGTTCTTCTCCAATGTCTTGACTTGCTCCATGTTGAGCCTCCTCTTTTTCTCGCCCGCCTGCGAGCAGTCGTCAGAGAGATCGTCTTCACAGTTCATCTCCTCGCAAATTTCGAGCCCGGAGAAGGACATGGATCTCTTGCCCATCATGGATGCCATTCCTGATTACAATGGCTTAGTGGTTTTAGAGAGAGATAGGAAACCCAATTTGTAGATGGGGTCTACAGGCTTCTCTGTCCTTTTTCGGTGTGGTTGTGTTTGTCTATTAGTAGAGAGAGAGAGAGAGAGAGAGAGTAACCCGATTTGCAGAGGGAAACGTTTTTGAGACTGCGAACACTTTTTCTTGTGTGTGTATGCTGACAATGACTTAGAGAGAGAGGATGCAGTTAAGCCAATTGAGAACATGGAGTGTATGAAAAAATGTTAGAGAGAGAAAGTACCATGAAAATCTTGAGGAGTGCAAGAGGAGACGATTGAAGAAATCGCTGCATTGGGGGCCTGATCATTGTCGCCATTACTCTGCAACATGAAATTGGAAGGGAAGAAAGCCATGGCATTGCAACCCATTAATGAAACTAAGTTAGGGTTTTTGGAGTTGAAATCTCCTCCTTTTGTCAATGGACATGAGTCTCCCTCTAGAAGCCATCATCACAATTCGAGAATGTAAACTCAAGGAACCTGAAACCCAATCGAAATATTGCAGCATACAGCCCTAAGAGCTAATAGAAAAGCGGAGAATTAGAAAGAGACGTAGAGAGAGAAACAAATGGAATAGAAGTAAATAAAATGAGAGGAGAGCAGTGGACTGAAGGGAATAGAATTAAAAGACGTATGATCCAAGGTATATAAAAGAGAGAGAGAGAGAGAGAGAGAGAGAGAGAGTTGTTGTGTTGGTAGATATAGTAGAGTAGTAGTAGAGTAGAGAGAGAGAGTGTGTGTGTGTGTGTTGTCGTAGAGAGAGAGAGAGAGATTTGTTATGTGTGTGGGCTGAGATATTGAGAGAGAGGGAGCTCGTATGTGTGTGTGGGATGAGAGAGAGAGAGAGTTGGTGAGTGTGTGAAAGAGATCCAAAATGTGTGGGCTTGAACATGTGTATGTTGTTCGTGCGTGTGAGACAGAGTGATAGAGATCCGTAGTGAGAGACAGATAGATCGAAGTAGAGAGAGAGAGGAATCTAAGGGGATGGGGCCTTGTGGTTGCAGGGTCTGCTACCTAACCCACAAACAAGGATCGTGCATCTGGTTCTCTCTCATCTGAAATGGGTTTTGTCTTGGCCTGCAAAGCATGGGTGGTAACCCGCCTCTGCCACATGAAAATGGGCGTCATGTCCCATCTCATCACCCCACACACCCTTTCTCTCTCTCTCTCTTATATCACTACCACCACCTTTCTGATCCCCTCTGCTACTTCTCAGTCTCTACTGCTGCAAAGTTTTCATCGTCTCATTCAATCCAACAATTCCCAAGACGCACTCTCTCTCTCTCTCTAAAATTTCAAAAAGAAAAAGGCCTCCAGCTTTACATTACCCCGACGAAAGTAAGAGAGAGAATGGAAACGTCGGGTCGGAGAGGGGTTTGGTTAAAGTTCATAGAAAGGAAGTCGAATTAGGGTTTAGAGAGAGAAAATAAATTACGTTGTCGTTGGCAAAAGGTGAAAGTGAGTGGCATCTTATCTTTTCTTGTAGTTCACTTACGTTTGCGCCACCGTTGTGTGAGAGGGTAATGAGAATATTACAAGAGTATCTTCACAATCGTCGAAAATATCTTCACATGCTCCTCTATTGACATGCATTTATTATTATTATTATTATTATTATTATTATTATTATTAATTAATTAATAAGGAGTTAGTCGGAGAAGGGCCTTTAATATGTACCACATCTCCCTTAAAAAGATTGCAACGGACTTATTTATAAATAAATAAAAAAGATTTGACCTTCTTTCCTAAAATGATATGTATATTTCTCAAATTTCTATGGCGACGTAAAATCACTTTTTTGAGTTGAAATTTTTGTGATGGCCTTAAAATATATTTTTATATTTATTTATAAAGTTTAAAGCTTCAAAGTTTGTATAGATTGACTGATCTATGAAAACTTGAAAATCTTGAAAATTGACGGTTCAAAAATGGGTTACAAAATATATTATTTCCAAAACTTGAAATCTATTTTTTTCTCCTGTTTATACATCTTGATATCGAGATCATCAATTTAAATATATTTGGGCATCAAATCAACCTCTTTTGGTGAAATTTTTGATGTAGGCTCAAATTTGATTATTTAGAGCCTCAGCTCTATAAAAACTTTTCCCATTATACAATCCCATCCATCGAATTCACATCTATCAATCAGACTAATTCTGATCGCACTGTGCTGAATATAAATAACTATAATACGTATTTTGTTTTTAGAGAAAATAACCTTGTTATGTATACTTCCCCTAAAAGTAGTCCTTGTTAATCAGCTCGATATTTTAAGGACCGCAATGCAATTTTAGAAAGATGGGGTTACTTTGTTTTTTTGTTATGAAACTATATGGCATCACAATTCTCAAGTAGATTCTTTTATTTTTTTAAGGGTAATGTCCTTGATTTTGAGATGGGAACACGGGCGGCTAGTTCAGTTCTGTACTTCTGTCTAAATTTGGATTTTGACTCCTTCAAAATTTAGATCTTGCTCTCAAAGATTAGATGGTCCATATGTTTTTTAGGCACATAAAAAATATTTTTTTTTTTTTTTGAGATTCATTTCCGGGGTGCTAAAAATACTTCTAAACTCAGCTTCACCTAAGGAATTAAATCTCATGTGCCCAGGGCAGGAAATCATTTCCCTATAGAAATTTGAAGTGACCTAAATATATATTAAAAGAAATTTGAAATTGAAGAGAAATTAGAAAATGTTATGAGGGACCCAACCAGGCTCCCAACACATGGCTCGATTCGAATAATATGACGATTAGATACATCAAAAAAAATAATGAAAAAAAGACAATTAGATGATCATGAGCTATATTATTGTTCAATTTAAGCAATAAAAAATTCAGAAATTTTAATCAATGAAAATCAAGGTACGGAGGAAACTCTTGATGCTTAAGACCTGCACAAAGTCAAGCACAAAACCAGATAAAAACGAAAGTTTCCGAAATCTACTCGAAGTTTCACCATGATTCCACCCATTGAACACAGGCCCCATTCGAGAAGGAACACTTTTTCCTCCTTTTTAAGGTTTCACCTTTTTACATGAGTGATTGAAAGTCAAAATTTATAGTTTTATAATCCAAATATTTTATTTTTATAGTTTTTTGTTTAGGGGTTTTCTAATCCAATTGTTAAAGTGGGAAATTTTTTTAAAAAATAGAAGCTAGAGATTGAAGGAAGATTGCATGATCATTTCCCACCCTGGCCCATAGTGGGGTGTCCTCACTTAATTCTTTTTTGAGTAAATTTGTAGCAAGGGCCCCACAAACCCAAATATTTTATTCAGAAAATAAGAAAATGCATATATTGTAAAAAAACGGTATTCCTAAAATAGGGATATACACATGGCCACTATTGGGTGGGATGGGGTGGATCCATGTTCTTGCATGTTGCCTAGGTAATTAAAATGTTATTTTAATAGAAAAAGTATTATTATAATGAAAGACCAAGTATTAAATAAAAGGGAGTAAATAGAAAATAAAGAGGACCATAGTAAATAATTTTTTTTAAGGTGCATGGCATGTGATTGTGTGAGGTCAGCAATTGGCACCTGGCGATGTGGTGACAAACCATGGCCTTAAGGGGAACATCCTGGGCAAGGGAACTCAAGGTCCAATATTATTGTGTGTGTGTGTGAGAGAGAGCATCAATGTTTCTATGGCATCATAGCATGAGCATGGCTAATATTGTTCTAGAGAGAGAGAGAGAGAGAGTGAGCATCAATGTTTGGGAGAGAGAGGCATCAATGTTTGAGAGACATAGAGAGAAGCATCAATGTTTTTATGAGTGCTATCAAATTCGCTTCGTTTTGGTTGAAGAGGCCGAAGCTTTTGTGTTTTAAGCATAAATCGAAGCGAAAAGAAGCACTTTGCTGTCGCTTCGCTTCAGGCTGCTTTGATCAGATTCAAGTCTCTTCGGGTTTGCTTTGATCAGAAAGAAATATCTATACAAAAGTATTATTTTTTTAATTTTTTTTAATTATAAATTTTCATTATTTTTATATGTAAATATCTAACTTATTTATATTAAATTAGAAAAAAATGTTTAAATTTTTTTTCAAAATTAACCGAAACACTGAATTGCTTTATTTTTCTCACCAAACTGAAAAAAACTTCAAAGTGAATCCGACATTGCATCATAGCATGAGTACGGCTAATGGTATGCTCCATTGATGTATACATCAATTGAAAATGTCCACTTGCTTGTGCAATATCGCACGTCCCTTGAAATTTAGAGAGAGAGAAGAGAGAGAGAGAGATGCCCTTTTTTTACTTTGAAGCTGGATTACTTTTGCTCTAGGAATGAGTGCATGTCATTCGAGTGTTACGTTATTTTCCGATTGATAAAAGGAGCTCATTGGTACCACATTTACGCCAAAAGGGCTCCGATAGTGGTTAGGGATGGCAACGGGTTAGGTCTAATTAGACCCGGGCCTGGACCCAGACTCAAATAGTATTTGGGTTTAAGTTTCCAATAGTTGGATCCATACTTATACCTATCGGGTCACGGGTCTATCATGTCAGTTTTCAGGTTTATTGCCGCTCTCACTATGAGTTTTTTTTTTTTTAATCTTTTTTTTATCATCATATATGTATATTATTGACAACAAGATCACAATCATCCACCATTAAATTGCAAGACATTTGATTTGTTGTTTAATAGCTAAAGATAACTACGAGTTCTTATTGTATGTGATCCTTAATACACCCAAATAAATAGGGTTTGAAGTATTTTATCTCCAATAATTTACGGATATAGGTTGCATCTAACTGGACTTGGACCCAACCGGCCGGATCCAAATGTTGAACCTATACCCAAACTCATGCCAGATACACCTAACATGTCCAAGTCCAGATCCAGTGCCACCCCCAATGGTGATCTTACACTATATTGTGGACGTTTGAAAAAGAGATCGACTTAGAGGAGGAAAAATGGAGAGAGAGAGAGAGATTTGGCTTACTTACATGAGGAAATATGGACCCTTGTAGAGGGAGAGGGAGAGGGAGAGGGAGAGTGATTTACATTATGGCATCCTTGTAGCGAGAGAGAGAGAGAGATAGAGAAAGATTTACATGTACAAACAGGATCCAAGTAGAATGAGAGAGAGAGAGAGAGGTTTAGATGTACAAACATGGTATCCCAGTAGAACGAAAAGGCACGCGTGCCTTAGGATAGTCCCCCTACTCAAACCCTAGCCTTAGGCCAGAGGTGGCAGCCATGGCTATGGGAACTGTAGCCCCCTTTTGTTTTTTAGGGCATGGTTCATGGGGTGCCTTGTCCATTTGCTGGTGTCCTTGTGTCTTCTTTGTCCATGCATGATTGCTGGTATACAACCACTGTTGTGACTGTGGGGTATAGACAACCCTTAAAGTTAGAGAGAGAGGGGGTCATTACTTCCTTTCCAACAAATAGTGGGCGTATTCTTTTTAATTGTTTTGTGACTTTTGTGGCCGTTGGGAAAGATGGATACACCAAAAGAAAGAGCCAGAACACTTGGGCTAATCTTTTGACAACATTTTCCTTTCTTGTTATTGGTTATGTTTTTCTTTTTGCGAACTTATGTTAGGTTTCTATTTTTCTTTAATATTTTTACATAATATAAATTGCCGATCCGTTCGTTATTATTAGGAAAAATTATAGAAACCCCCTATTTGTACTTTTCGACATTAACCC